GAGCCTGCGCGTCTGGAGCTTGTGCTCCGCAACAAGAGAGGCCGCGACAGTGAGAGGCCTGCGCACCGCGATGAAGAGTGGCCCCCGCTCACCGCAACTGGAGAAAGCCCTCGCACGGAAACGAAGACCCAACACAGCCAAAAATAATAAATAAATAAATAAATTTTTTAAAAAAAGTGAAAATGAATGACGATAACTGTGTTAAATAGCAGGCTTGGTTTGCATGAATCTCTGGTCTTTTCTTGCCAGGCCTGGGACTTCATGGAATTAAACTCCTAGGTAGAACCTAGAGATTCACCTAAATTCATGAAGTTCATGCTTGGCCAGGACACAGTAACTCCTCGGCCCTCAGCACCCTGCCCTTGTACAGATTTGCTGCAGGGGGTCATGAGGGCAGTTGGTGAAAACGCTGGAGAGCCTGGAGACAGAACAGATTTACCACTTACACTCCATGGGATCCTCAGCAAATTATTCATTCTTTCTAAGCCTCAGTTTCTTTCTGCTTTCTCCTTACTTTATAGGGAAGTGATGCACACTATTTTTTAATTAATTAATTTATTTTTGGCTGCATTGGGTCTTTGTTGCTGTGTGTGGGCTTTCTCTAGTTGCGGCGAGCAGGGGCTAGTCTTCGTTGTGGTGCACGGGCTTCTCATTGTGGAACACGGGCTCTAGGCACGCGGGCTTCAGTAGTTGTGGCTTGCGGGCCCTAGAGCACAGGCTCAGTAGTTGTGGCTCATGGGCTTAAGTGCTCCGCGGCATGTGGGATCTTCCCAGACCAGGGATCGAACCTGTGTCCCCTGCATTGTCAGGTGGATTCTTAACCACTGCGCCACCAGGGAAGTCCCAGTGGTGCAGATATATGATGATTTGCAAGTACTGTAATTCTTAGTAAAAACAAACATGCTATGTGAGTCCAAGTTACTTTCCTCAAAGGTGTTTTCTCTACTGATCACATCGCAGTGGTTGGTATGTCAATCTGTTGTGAAATGCTGTACAAGGTGTGACTACACAGTAATGTGGCAAAGCTTTGCAAAGCATTTTTGAAGTTCTGCATTCAAGTGAATGTTCTTTGCTCCATAAATCACTATGAGAAACTCTAAGCTTACTGTAGTGATGATGCCGTCGCTCAGAACATCTTCAGGATTCCCTTTTTAAAATAGCTGTCAGAACAATTGCTATCATCTGTGGTGGTAGTAAATAGTTATATTGTAATGGTAAATTTGATTTTTGTAAACAAATCATCTAGTCAGTTGTGATGAAAAAGATTTATGGTAAGCTGAGTAAATTACATTTCTGATTAAAACACACACACACACACACACACACACACACACACACACACACACAGTCATAAAATCCTGAAGCTGATTTTCTTGGGTGCCTATACCGGCTCAGCAGGCAGCCCCTAGAGAGGCATTCCAGAATGTTTCAGCCATGGTGGCATTATTGGAGTATGTTGCAATATGCCTCCCAAGGCAATTCCTTTTACCGAAGGAGGGCACTTTTATTTTGCTGGGCTTTTTTGCTGTCACCAAATTTTGATGATCTTTGTGGCCTCTGAGTCCTAAGACATATTAATTTTCAAATAATTAGCATAAAAGTATGATTTATATGAACTTGAATATAAAATACATTTGTTCTGCTTGTATACACAAAGAATAGATTTCTTTTGTTTGGATGAATGATGTCTCTTTATCCAAAAACCATCTTATGACATTGAAATGAATAGTATAATCAATATTCAAGGCAACCATTTTGAAGAGCAGAGCTGATTTGAATTTACAAGTTCAGGCATATTGTTTGATTCATCCTTTAATTGTTGCAGCTTGTATATTTCAGGATGGCGAATAGAACAAATACTGTTGCTACTATAATGTATTATTAAGCAAAGGGAATTTTAATTCTGTACTCTATCTATATTATTTTAAAGAGATTTTCATTGTTTTGATAGTTCTGCCTTGTTCTTTATGTTGCAGCAACTTTTTACAGATGTGGTAAGTGGAGAAATTTCCAGGGAGTTAGCTGATGAAACAGCAGCAATGGACACCTTAGTAACAGAGCTTCAAGACCTAAGCAACCAATTTCGAAATCAGTATTGACCATCCTCGGAACAGCTTCTGGAAAAGGTGCTTCACCTTCTGGAATTTCTCTTATACCTGTGTATCTAAACCACAAGATACTAATTTTTTTAATAAATTTCTCTTGTATGGGTAACATTCTTGCTTTTGTAATCTTTCCAAATGTTTGAACTTTCTGAAATACATTAAATAAAATGTTCCTTCCTTCTTTCTTTAGGCTTAATTACAGTTGAATTCACTATTTTTATTATCCTTCAGGTATTTCAGCACAAAGAGCAAAAAAAATGTTGCTTTCTTTTTAGCATAGGGTTTATTCTGTCACAGCCTAAAATGAATTAGATCATTCTTTGGAAAAAGTCTAAACAGGAAACAAAGAAATCACACGCTACAAGTTTGTGGAATCATTAGATTGGCTGATGTATTATCCAAAAGTGATAAAAGAGTACTTTTGGTGATGGAAACCTTTACGCTTCTTGAGATTTTGTATTTGGGTCCAGAAGATACGGGCTTGGCTAAGTTAGAAATGTGGGTATGGTTTAACTTCTAAATCAGGGAAAATGCAAGAAAAAAATGACATAACTCAAATTTTGACTCAGCCATTAGCCACTAGTAACCAGGCTGACCCTCATTGTGTATACTGCCAGCCCTAAAGATGGTTATTTAATAAGGTTATTATGAGTGAAGACAGCTATAAATGGTGCCATATTACAAAAATGCCAAAGTAAAATGTTTTCTTAGTAATGTCTATGGAAACAAATATTGAAGGCAGCAGCTGAGCTTAATAATCTTACTACAAAAGTCATAGTAAGGAATTTGAAGTCCTGGCTTGGGTTGCTGAATATTGGGTCCCATGCATAAGTCATTTGACCCTTGCTGTTTTCCATGTTCTTATTTATAAAATGTGAATAATTTCTATCCCTTGCTGCTTTGTGAGTTTCTACTGCCTTTGGAAATTTAAAAATATGTAATCCACAAATGTAAGTATTCTGACCATTAAAAAAAAAGTTTTTAAAAACTTTCATCTATGAATTTTGGTTATGAATGCTTAGCAGTGCTTCTTTTACTTAACCACCTGCTTCTCTTTTCTAGTATCATACTAGCCTAAAAAAAAAAAAAGCTGATGTATGTCTCAAAGCAGTTTCTCTTACAGGAGATGCAGTAACTATGAGAAAGACCAGTAAAATGATGTAGTAGCATGAATTAACATTAAATGTCCACTTGAATCTTTTATGGAAGCCATTGGGGAATAGGTGGGTGGGTGGATGGTTGGATGGAGGGAACGAGGTTTTAAGATTAAAACCTCTTTATCGGTACCTAGCTGTGAACCCCAAGAGAAAACAGATAAATACTGAAAAGGGTAAAGATTTCAGGAATTGAGTAGAAGATTGAAGAAGAATTTCCAGGTTTTAGAAGTTTTTAGTTCTCAGTTTGTTTTCCTTTGGGTTCAAAGTAGAAAGGCACTGGTGAGTGTGAACTGCCGCAAACCAAGTCCTAAAAGGATTATTACCTTCCAGTCCTATTTTCAAATGCTATAGTGGACCAAAGTCTCCAGGAAGCTGCCCTACACCTCTTTTTTCTTGGGATGATCTCACAAAAGAGCTATTAGATATCTTCTTTTAAAGATATAGACCTGTTAGTTATGTTTAATAGTCTTACTAGGAGAGTGAATGTTAAGTGAATGTTTAACATAATTGAAGAAAATGTCGGGGGTAGGTACTATGGTAAAGTAGGAAAAACTTGGGTTTTAGCAAAACCTCATCTCTACCACCTCCTAACACTTAATACTTAACGCTCTGGTACTTGATTTTTTCATCTGTAGAGAGTGTTGTGATAATAGTACCTCCTATCAAGTTCTTAATATCTCTTATAGCACTTTCACCCAGCTGCAGAGTCAGTAACAGAGTATCTGTTTAAACAGCTGTATATCATTTCCAATAGGGTCTTTGATGCTTTGTATTGCTATGTTATGATTTATATACTTGCTATTTCCAAATGCCTTATCTTTTATAGATTTCAACTTTGGTTTTTTAGTATTAATACATTGGTTTTCAGAATTACTTTTTTGTCTTATCAACTAGAAAAATATAAAGATGTTATCCTTTAATCTTTATTTAGTTCCCACAGCATAAATAATAATACTTACTGAGTACTCACTATGTACTAGGTAGGTTTGCGACATCACCAGTAAACTAAAGAAAGAGAAATAGCCGGAATTCGAAGACTGCTGAAACCTGCATTCTTTGTACTTGCTATGTTGGGGCTAGAAAGAACTTCCAATGGTCAGCTGATTTCAGTCTTCTCTTTCCAACAATGGGATACCTGGAAAGATTGCCTTTCATTGTTTATAAAGTTTTTCAAGGAGAGAAATTCTGTGAGATCTCAGTTAACAATTGCCTGTGGTCTGTTAAGATTATTTAGGATTATTTGATCTTTATTTTAATAAATTCTTTGTTGGCCTTTTTCCAAAGAAGCAACATAGTAAATGGGGACCCTAACTGCAAAGGAGTTAAAATAAACCCAAATGGAATAAGAAATCACTTCCCTACACCCAAACCCAAAACTCAGGAAGCTTGGAGAGTTGATACTGAGTCTGGGAAGCAGCGCCATGGGGGGTGTATTGAGGGGTCGTGAGTAGAGTGGTGAGGTTCAGAACTGCAGAATCCCAGAGTGGACTTTGAGGTTCCCATGTAGGGGTGGACAGCTTGGCCTTACCTCAGATGGAGCCTCAGTACAGTAATGAGAACCCCAAACATTGAAAGCACTGACTTATTTAATTTTGGTGTGTTTATTTTTAGATTTCTTTTTGTGTTGTGGATCATTTTTAAAGTCTTTATTGAATTTGTTACAGTATTGCTTCTGTTTTATGTTTTGGTTTTTTGGCCCCGAGGCATGTGGGATCTTAGCTCCCCGACCAGGGATCGAACCTGCACTCCCTGCATTGGAAGGCAGAATCTTAACCACTGGACCATGAGGGAAGTCCCCGACTTATTTAATGTTGTATCAAGGCTATTCTCTTCATGCTGTACTTGTTTCTGTTGGACATCTATTAGTGTGCTTTCATAAGCAGAAATGTGAAGAAATGGTATCAAGTATGTGTAGTAAATTCACCTACTTTCCAGACTACATTCAAAGATTGTGACATAAGCAGAGGTATGGCCAAGTTTGGGCTATTTGTGACCATTTATCCAAATTATGGTAAGTCTACTAGGTTAAAACCCTAGGTGAGTCTGATGAAAAGTATTCTTTTTTCCTTTTTCTGTTTGTATAACATTCACATTCGTCTAAGTTGGCGTTTAGATAAGGTAACTCTATTTGCCAAGAGTGAGGAATAAAACCTGTTAAGTGGGTGCAACACACTTCCTTTCTGCCCGTTCATTCAGCAGGCTCTATAGTGAAATGGCAAAGAGCCTTTATTCAAATGGTGGGTGCCATGCTGTGGTGATACAGATGGATTTTTCACAACGTGCAGAAGTGCTTATAAATAGATAGGTTTCAATCAACAAGCAGCTTATTCAGGCATGTGCTCAAATATAGTAGCTGCATTCATTAGATAGACATTTCCACTAATCCCAAGACTATACTAATAAAAGAGTAATCCTTTATGGGCTAAAGGTAGTGCTGGCTTGCTTTTAACTCTTAGAGAGTCTTTCACAGACCAAGGCCTAATAATAATTGTAGCTGCATTAGGTTTTCACCAAGTGGACTATAAAAGCTGAGCTTATCTTGAAATTTTTTCTTTTTTTTTAAAATTGCAGTAGCTTAGTGGACAAAGAGGTGCTTTTTACTCAGGATATGCAGCTCACAGCAAAGCCAATTGAGAAACCAGTTTTGTGTGCATTTGTGTGTGTGTTCTCATTACTTTATTATAAAGTGCCTTCTCTTTCACCGTGGTTAATAAAGTGGTTAATAAAGAGTTCGCTTGAGCAGATTCTGTCTTTCCCTTTGACTTTAGGATAAATAACAAGTTAATGTCAATTTTGAGGAGATTTGAAAACTCTTAGTAGAGTGATTGGACTTTCTATGTGGACCTTTTTGGGATTGGATTTGTCCAACAAGGTCTTCACTCCTCCCACACTGTTCAGAGCTAGCTGTAATTAGTTCACTTTGCACAACACTAAAATTTTTCTCTTGCCAGTGATGTCAGATCTGCCTTCCTTTTTATTATTCTGACTTTTTATAAACACAGTGACCTGTGAGTCAACCATACCATCTCTTGGCCATGTGCCAACATTGTGATTTATGAAGAGGGACTCCCGCCAAGTACTGTGAGGCAGAAAGCTGCTATTATGAAAGTGGTCCTCTGAACGGTAAGTATCAGCCATTTTTGAATCTTTTGTGGTGTTGCCAGAAAGGGGTGGGGGGAGGTAAATCATGTTAATGTTGTTAAGGAGCTGACCCATGCATTGCTAACTTTTTCCAGACTGAGGGCTCAAATGAACATGAGCATCTATAGGCACACAGATATTATTACACAAAGCTGCTCACAGACAGAGAAATGCTTCTTGAAGACTCTATTACCATGGGACTTGAGGAAGTCCTTAGCCTCTCTGTAAACTGTCAGTGATCCATATGACAGAGATGTTGTCACAAGATCAATTGGGAAGATGCATGTAGAAGTGCTTTGAAAGTAAAAAAGTTTAATAGAAATACAAATAAGAGTGTCTTAGAAACCACTTGGTAATAAGCATTGATACAACCTTTTCTGTTCTCCATTGGGAGCTTAATGACATTTAGTGCTGCTGGACCATGATGCCAAAGTGTCGTGATTCTCAGCATTTTCATTCTATTGCAAACTTTCCACGTTTCTGGGCTACAAGTGCGGATAGGGGAAGGGAAGAAGGAAAGACTGTGATAGATTTTTATAAAGTCAAGGAGAAACAAAACCAAGTTCCTATCATCAGGATTTCTTGGGTTGGTGCTAGGAAAAGGAAAGAGTGATAGTGATGAGGGAGAGTAGGCAGAACAAATGGTGAAATGGGGAATTGACTGCCTAGGATAAACTCAGGGTTAGAAGACCTAGATTTAAGTCCCAGCTTCACCACTTCCTAGCTGTGACCACACCTGAGCATCTGAACCTCTTTGGGTCTCAATTTTCTCAACTATAAAATGCAAATAGCCTACAGACCAGACAGAATTGCTATAGGGGTCATATCAGATGATGTGTGCAAAGTGTTTTGTGAGCAACTGAGCACAATTAGTTCTTGTTATCATCAAGAGAAAGGGGCATTGTGGATGGCCTTTTGGGTCCCAGGGACTGGTGGAGTCCCTGGATGGGGGCATCCAGCATCTTGGCTCCAATTTCTGTAATCCCTGTGGGGTCATGACCCTGGAGCTTGAGAAACAATGCTGCAGAATTGTTTCCAGCCTTCTGTGTGCCCTTTATCACTCTACTTACTGAAATCAGTTTGGCCTATAAGATGTCTGGTGCCAGGGTTGATAAAAGCTGTCTTGGTATTTTTACAGCCGTCTGGCCAGAAAACCTGTTTATGCCCCAACAGTTCTTTTTCACAAAAAAAATATGTAGCAGTAGCAGAGCTAGAGTGTGCTTCATATGCGCAGTTGGTGCCCTTGATCGTAACCAGTAGGAAACAAGGTTATTTATTTTGAGGGGGTGGGTAGGCATGCCCTGATTAATGTTCACCTTCCTACTTTAATAAATTACACACGTGTTCCTTCCACGTTCATTGTCAAAAAGTTAACAAGCTAGAAGAAAAACACTAAATCACCCAAAATCCCACCCCCATACTAGATAACCATATTAACATTTTTCTGCATATTCTTCTAGACTGTTTCCTATGAATGTGCACATACACATCTGAGAGAGAGAGAGATAGGCTTTAAAATTTTTTTTAATTAATTAAGTTTATAATTAAGCACATGGAAGTAGGCCTGCCTTTAATATGGTGGGGCTTTGAGCCAGAGTACAAATGGAGGCCCACATACCATATGTCTAAATTATTTAAAAGTTATAAACCAAGCTAAGAAACTGTTAAATAAAATTTGTTTTGTTTTTTGATCTTGACAAATATTCCTTCATTCTGACTTGGAAGGGCATTTAAAATTTTTTTAAATTTATTATTAAAAATTTTTATTGAATGAAAGATTGTTTAAATTCTATAGTGCTTTACAGTTTCCAAATGTTTCACACACATGATTTCATACAATCCCATAATAACTCCTTTTTTTTCCCTACCCCTATATTTCCCCTCCCCACTTCAGTCTCCCCACTGGTCACCAGTAGTTTGTTTTCTATTGATATATCTGTGAGTCTCCTTCTTTTTTGTTTTATTCACTAGTTTATTGTAATTTTTAAATTCCACATATAAGTGGATATCATACAGTATTTGTCTTTCTCTGACTTATTTCACTTAGCATAAGGCGCTCCACGTCCATCCATGTTGTTGCAAATGACAAAATTTCATTCTTTCTTATGGCTGAGTAGTGTACCATTGTATATATATACCATGTCTTCTTTATCCATTTATCTGCTGATGGACACTTGGCTTGTTTCCATACCTTGGCTATTGTAAATAATGCTACGATGAACATTGGGGTGCATGTATCTTTTCAAATTAGTGTTTTTGTTTTTTTCAGGTATACACCCAGGAGTGGAATTGCTGGGTCACATGGTAGCTCTATTTTTAGTTTTTTGAGGAAGCTCCATACAGTCTTCCACAGTGGCTGCACCAATTTACATTCCCACCAACAGCTTACAGGGTTCCCTTTTCTCCACATCTTCACCAACATTTGTTATTTGTGTTTTTTTTGATGATAGCCATTCTGACAGGTGTGAGGTGATATCTCATTGTGGTTGTGGTTTGCATTTCCCTGATGATTAGTGATGTTGAGCATCTTTTCATGTGCTCAACATCTGATGAGCTGTTGGCCATCTGCATGTCCTGTTTGGAAAAATGTCTATTCAGTTCTTCTGCCCATTTTTTAATCAGGTTGTTTGTTTTTTTGATGTTGAGTTGTATGGGCTATTTATATATGTTGGATATTAACCCCTTATTGGTCATATCATTTGCAAATATCTTCTCCCATTCAGTAGGCATCTTTTTGTTTTTTCAGTTGTTTCCTTTGCTGTGCAAAAGCTTTTAAGTTTAACTAGGTCCCATTTGTTTATTTTTGCTTTTGTTTCCTTTGCTGTAGGAGATGGATCCAAAAAAATATTGCTCTAGGTTATGTCAAAGAGTGTTCTGCCTATGTATTCCTTTAGTAGCTTTATAGTATCTGGTCTTACATTTAGATCTTTAATCCATTTTGAGTTTATTTTTGTATGTGGTGTTAGAGAATGTTCTAATTTCATTCTTATAAATATAGCTGCCCAGTTTTCCCAGCACCACTTATTGAAGAGACTGCCTTTTCTCCATTGTATATTCTTGCCTCCTTTGTTGTAGATTAATTGACCATAAGTGCGTGGGTTTATTTCTGGGCTTTCTGTTCCCTTCCATTGATCTCTGTTTCTGTTTTTGTGCCAGTACTATACTGTTTGGCTTACTGTAGCTTTATAGTATAGTCTGAAGCCAAGGATTGTGATTCCTCCAGCTCTGTTATTCTTTCCCAAGATTGTTTTGGCTATTTGGGGTCTTTTGTGTTTCCATACAAATTTTTTAAGATTTTTTGTTCTAGTTGTGAAAAATGCCACTGGTAATTTGATAGGGATTGTATTGAATCTGTAGATTGCCTTAGGTAGTATGGTCATTTTAACAATATTAATTCTGGAAGGGCAGTTTTAAAAATTGAATGATAGTTGACTTACAATGGCGGGTCATATTTTAACTTAGAATATTCAAAACCTCAGAATCCCAGACCAGAAGAGGGTGGTGCAGGGATAGTCGGCCCTCTTTCAGTGCACCCTAGTCTTCTGGGGCCTCTTGTGCACCAGTGTGCACACCCCAGCACACGTCTCAGGTCTATCATAGCCCCCACAAACAGTTATAATGCTACCCCTCAGACCTAGGGGTGCAAGACCAGAGGCCACTCTACCCTTGGGAATATAGGCCTGGGAAAGAGGTCTACGCAGCTCTGTGATGCAGGCTTTGGGTGTTTGGGCAGGGGATTCTGGGGTCTCAGTTACCTAAGCATGGCCTAGAAGGTGGGGGTAGTACAGGCTTTAGGTAGGCATGTCCCTTTCTCTTGGTCCCATGAGTGAGGGGTGTCTGTAGAGGGACAGAGAGGGACCCGTCAAAGTGAAAGGTCAAGACAGAGGCCCCTCTTGACTGGTTTTAAGGGAGGTACTGATAGGAAAATAGTGTCAGACATAGGAGGTGTTGAAAGGAACACCTATTCACCAGTCATTAATTTTCCTTAAAAGAAACAGAATTTCCTTCCACATTCTAGGAAGGAGAAGAACAGGAGGAATAATTTAGCATCTCTACTCTGCGTTTACTTCAGTGCAGGAGTGACTTAAGGAACTAGACAAGTTCGGCCCTCCCTCTCTTCCTCTCTTCTCCTTTCCCCTCCCTCCCTCCCCCGTTCCCCTTCTCACTTTCCTGCCAAAAGAGAGGTCGCATTCTCTTCCCACCCCTGCTCTCAATGGAAGCACAAAAAGTCAAGGCCCAGCCTTGTCTGAGAGTTAGCCCCCCTCTTAGTCTCCTTAATGGGGCAGTAATTCTGGGTTGAGGAATGTATCTGCTCTGTAGTCCCAGACTCTTCCTTTATGGATCACTCCAAGAACTAAACTTCAGGAGAAGTATCAGGAGGCCCAAATGTGATAACACATCAAAATAATAAAACTGACATTTTAATTTCCATCTGTCTGGGTCCAGCATCATCAGTACGTTAATTAGTTTCAAAATCAGTTCAGAGAGGGGAGGGGGGAGTAATTAATTAGAGGCAGAATTCTTGGATTCAAGCCCTAGCTGTGTTCAGTGAGTTGTCTAGTGGATCTTTTTAAGCATGGTGAATGTTTAACCAGGGCTGTGAATCAGAACCACCTGAAGAATTTTACAAAAACCAAAACACAGGAAACAAAAAAAATCCTAGATTCAAACCTAGGAGATTTAGATCCCCTAGCCCTGAGCAAATGTGTTTTTTTTAAGCTCCAAAGATGATTCTGATACTTGCCTGTGTTTGGGGATTGCTGAACATAATTAAGCTTTAGAAAATGAAAATAATTCCTGTATTGCTTCGTAACAGACTGATGGTAAGGATTAAATGAAAAGAAAAGCACTGAATGCTAAAGGTCTCTCTCTATATATATATAAAGTATTGTTACTTCTATTATGAATAATTATTTAGTATTACTAGTATTAATAATTATGTAGTATTATTAATTACTACAGCTATTAAGTAGTGTACATTT